CCAAGACTGTAAATGGAAATATGTCAATAAGTTACTTAGCATGCGAGCTAATGTGTTTGCGTTTCAATGTATCAAGTTATTTATGAGTTTAGTTGTCACGTTACTGCACGTTGTCTTTTAGTGCAATTGAAACTGCCACCATTATTTTGGGCTGAAGCGATCAACACGGCTAAAAACATTCGAAACCGTTGTCCAACTACTAGTTTAAATGGGAAAACACCCTATGAATTATGGAAAGGCAAAAAACCCGATGTCAGTCAAACGAGAGAATTCGGTTGTAGAGTCCTTTACCTAAATAGGCTGCCCAGAAAGGGAAAATTCGATTTAAGATATTTGAACAATCTTCCCAGATAGCACACGACGTCCATTGGACGTCCATATTTTGTCCAAATAATGTCCTGGATGTCCATGAACTTTATATGGATGTCCATTGGACATCCATTTTCTGTTATCCAATGGATATACCCATTCAGACGTCCAATGGATGTCCAATAAATGTCCATGATGGACACTATAAAAATGACTAGCTTATAATAAATTATTATAATCCTTCTTGTATAATTTAATTATTTACAACGTTTTAATTAAAATAAATCAATTAATTTTCCTCTTCTAACGCCTCTGTTGACAAGATAAAAAAGTAAAAGGCCATTCAGATCAGAATCGAAAAAGAAGAGAAGAATGAGGTTAATAAGAAAACATCCCACATGTAGCCGATAGATAATGTTTATCTGGTAAGAAAATAAGTATAATTAACATTAAATTATTTAAAAATCCAAACATTAAGAAGCAAATCTTTTGTTTTAAACTAATATAACCTATCAATTATGATTTAAACTTTTATATTTGCGATTTACATTCAAAGAATCCCTTTCTTTTAGACCTTTCTTTCAAACGATTTACCTACCTATTTAAGAAAATGGCTTTACTAAAAGCTAACTAATATGCTGCAAATTCGAGATGATGGCAACTAAGAGGTGAGAAAACTTTCAAAGGAGAAGAAAAAAATTCAAGTTTCTATTTGTATGGATGAGACGTTAGCAGAAGAGGCTATTTAGAAGATACAAATATTTTTAAAGAAGCTGTAAGTTTTACTTTTATTAAATAAAATACAATCGTTTTGTAAAGTTTAAGAAATATTGCATTGAAAGTGGTTTCAGAAGTTATTTCTCTTTAATGTTCACAAATACATATTTTTATTGCAATTTTAGATTCAGCAGTTACCAAAACCAGGGACAAGGACATGACAAACTTATGAAAAGATGTTTTGTTTCCATAATTTCTAATATCCTCTCAAATGAATTCGCATAATATAATTATATAATATATAATGAGCAGTTTTTTCTTTATATGTAAGTATAGAGGTAAAGTACATTAGTCAATGCATATTTTCATATTAGTTAATAACATTTTATCTAAAAGTTTTACATTTTTAACTATCAGTTTTGTCTGATCAGACGTGTATTAAATGATTGATTTAAGACTCAATATTCGTATAAAATGTAGTCTTTTTTTAGCTGCTGCTGAGAGTGATAATGGTGCTGCTTAAAAAGTAAGCGAAATAGCCTTAAGAAAATGGCTGAGAAGGTCAACAGAAATAAAACTAATACATGTTTGATATTATTTATGACAATAAAAATAAGTCCATAGTTGCAATTATTTTATTTCACATTAATATAGGTGGTGATGTCCGTCAGATGTCCACAAATTGTCCAAAAGCAATACAAAAAGTCCATATATGGACCTTTCATGGAGTCCAAATGGACGTCCAGGAGTGGGACATTTGTATAGTCCAGTGGATGTCCATTGGATGTCCTTCGGTAAAATGCTGGACGTCCTTTGGACAGCCGATATGTCCATGAATGGACTTCCGATGGACATCCAATGGATTGACTTGTGCTGTCTGGGTTAAGGCTATCACATTTGGATGCCTGAAGATAGAAAGACTGTGATTAGCAGAGACGTAAAATTTTTTGACCACTCCGAACATAAACTTAATAAATATCCTAATTTTATGCCAATATCACATTACCAAACAGCAAAAATTGATTTAAATCCTCTTAAAATGACCAATGAAGAGCAAGTGGAAATAGAAATCACTCCTGAACCTGAAAATAGTCAAGTATCTACTACTTTTGCACCTCCTGAATCGAGTAGAGGACACGGTCGCCTTAAATTACTGAGAACTAGCTACCGCGGAAGAACCAGAAAAAAATACCCTTTAGGTAGGTACCGTGGACCCAGGACTAAGCTTCAAGTACGACCAACAAGGAGTAAATGGGTATGTAGATGCTGACTGGGGGAACAATGCAGACGATAGGCGTTCCTTCACCGGTTACATTTTTATGTTAAATGGTAGACCAATATCCTGGGATAGCAAAAACAGCGTCAAGATTTTCTTTTAATGCATGATAATGCTCGACCCAATGTAGCCAGGATAGTAACTAAGTACCTTCAGGAGGTCAATATTCGGGTTTTAGATTGGTCAGCGCGTAATCCAGACTTAAACCCGATAGAACATGTTTGGGACCATCTATACAGAAGGGTTAGAGCTGGAAACATTCCTGTGTGTGTTAAAGAAGGGTAAAACTGAAGAAAATTTTACAAAAACATAACTGCTTGTTCTGATGCTTCAAAGTATGGTTTCGAAAAATAAAAAGAAAACCATTTTTTAGGAAAAAATTCTGAAAACAGACGAACAAGCTGAAATTGGAACTGTTTTTATTTTACAATTTTGTATTTTATTTTTAGTTCTTTAGAAAATGTTATTAATTTTGCTGTTCTGGTAGGATTTGTTACTATGTTCCTATAATAATACTTTTTCCTTTTGTTATAAACATATATTTAAAATATATAAGCAAGTTATGAAGCAAATGTCTTATTTACTATTTCTTAAATATCTCACGATTTTTATTTGGGAACTGTAACTACCACTCTTCAATTATCCTTTAAAATAAATTATTGAAGTTCATTTTGTGATCAAGTAACAACCTACCGGATTAACTTTATTGTTTTTATCAGTCTTTTTGTTACATTTTTTTACATTTTAAATATACACCAACAAATTTAGAGATCTATGTTTTATAATCCTAGAGTCCTTAAAAAAATAACTAATATCTGGCTGTGAGTTGAGATATTCCAAGCACATTGATCATAAAAGAAACACGGAAATGAAACAATAATAGACGAGGAGTCAGACTTCCTTAAAAAGGTTCGAACTGTTAAGAACGTCGTTATCCAATAAAACAGAAAACTCTAAAAACAAGTTGAGTTCTTAATGATACACAGAGACGAAGAGACGTCCATACGAAAATATCCGACACACAATATTATACAAATTAAAAATATCTTTGACTATATTTTAGAAACATGATATTTTTAAATAAACAATACCAACCTCCTCATTCGTTCTCTGGCTAAGACACTGCAAACAGACGAACGAAACAATTTCTTTACCAATAGAAATAAAATTAAAAAAGAAGAATTGCAGTCACATTGTCACATATAGTTCCAGCAGTTCGCACACTTAAAAGCTCCATGCTACTGTTTCAGCACGTTCTTTAACAATGAAACAAAAGTACTATAATTATGTAATTCGCGGCTTTAAAAATGTAAACAGTGGACAGGTCCGTACCGCGCCATTTATACATCTAAGTACACTAGTCTCGATTTTTTGCGAATTTTCGAGTGGCTGTATCTTTGGTAAAAATGGTCATACGTAAATGAAAAAAAAAAAAGCAATTAGAAACTTTAGTGTCTAGTTTATACATCTTGCGCTAAAAAATTTTTTCAACCAAGCACAAAATTCTGATGAATATCATGGATAGAAAATTTTTGAATTTTTAATTTTTAGTGTACGGATTTAAAAAAAAAATCTTGACATAACCACTATATGCATTGAATAAGTGGTTTAGTTAGCTTCAATTCCTTTTTTTGATGGCCTCGAGATGACCCTTCCTTGCTGAGTTATCAGAAAATGAACGAAAATACGTCATTTCCTCTTCTCTCGTCAATATCTCAGGAACCAATGGCCGCTCAGAAAATGGAAGGGGGGTTTCGGAAATTTTGATTCATTCTCTACAAAGTTCTGGCATGTTCTTTTACGACAAAATGTTTTTTCATCCCTAGCATGATTTTGAAGAATTTCGTAAAACGGGTCTTTTTGAGGTTTTTTTAGAAAATCACGTGCCACATTGAGAATATTGGGAAAATGAATAACGTTGGGTGTGCATTTTACAGGCCATTGTTCCCCAGAAAGCTCTACAAAATTTCAACCTGATCCATTAAGCCGTTTTATTGTTCCATGCGAGTGACTTTTTGAAGAACTTGAACGATCGCGTTTTTCTATCCATGATATTCATCAGGATTTTGTGCTAATTGTTGGTTAAAAATTTTTTTTATCGCAAGATCCATAAACTAGACACTTCAAGTTTCCAACTGCTTTATTTTCATTCACATACGACCATTTTTACCAACGATACAGCTACTCGAAAAATCGAGATTATTTTTTATCCCTTAATTTTTTCCACTAGTTTATCATTTCTTAAATATATTTTTAAGACGATGAAAGTAATAATATTGTTAGTAGGTAAGAAACGACTCAAAATCAGTCCCACATAAATATACTTTATCGATCAAAAATTAAAAACCGGTTTCGGCATTGTGCCATCATCAGGTCTACAAATAAACGAACAACGATGTTAGAAAAATACAACTTATGGACTAAAAAGTTAAGTACATACCTAAAAGGTTAATAAGTATTGAATACACAAGCGTGGCACAAAAGTATACAACATTTAATGTGGAAAATAAAAGAAATTCAAAGGTGGAAAAAGATTGTGAAAATTAGCAACTATAGTAAAGTGGAAATAGAAACGTTAAATGTTAACAATACATAACAACCAAACACAAATCGATTGTTGCTAGGAGAGAGGAATCAAGTCAAGCAAGTTCATGTCAATAATGCCTTTAAGCGAAAATAAGTTGTTAAAATTGGAACAATGAAGGTAGTTCAATACTCTCCAATTGCAGACAGTCCAATAGTGGATCGGCAAGGAACTCAGGTGCGGGAAGAACGAGTTCGAAAAGCTATTGGAAGCAAAAACCACCAAGTTGATAAGGTGGTAGATCCAATAAAGAAAAGAGAAAGTGAAAGTGGAGGTATTGGGATGCCAAAAAAGGTATATAAGAAGTACATGATAGTTTAAACCCAGACAAAACCGGGACTAACTGTGAGTTTTCCAAAACAATTGTACAATATCACCTACAACGTGGTAAGTGAAGATAATACGACAGAATTCGTAACTGCTCAATATAACAGGTGTTTATATGGAGAGGTTGAAAGGTACACCTGTCACAGCAAAAAAAATTAAAATTAAAATACTTCCAAAAGCAAAATTGTTACAGTGGAGATAACAAAATTACAATACACGGCGTAGTATGACATTAGCATGCGCTTAGAGTCCAAATGACCGTAAGTTAGAATCTAAAATAATATACAACTATGCTATACGATATTACTATCATGAGAACCACTATAGTTATGGTGCAATGGTGTAGCAGTTATCAGAGCAATTTGGATCAACCATATTCCGCATTAAGAAGAACCACATTTCATTTAAAAGAAACGTTAGTAAACAGACAAGGATGGACACAAATAGAGAAGAAATTGCAGTCCATTAGGAGAAATGGATATTGTTAAACCTTGTTTAGAGAAGGAGTGGCGAGCGTCGCGATGCGATAGCGTTACATCGAGCGACAAATTAGATGTTTCACAGCATCGCATCACTAATTGCTCTCACTCTGAACGTTTGCGTTTGATAATGATAGGTTATTTTAGCGACGACTCGTCGCTCGACGCAACGCTATGCATCGCGATGCGCGACGTTCTTACTCTGAACAAGGCTTTTATATTCAGAAACTCACTTTTCCAAACTCGTTGTCCGTTTATTTCCATGCTATTTCCTTTGTACAATGTAGTTATGTTATTCTGTGCCAGCATTTAGAGAAATGAAGTGATGCATTAACGTAAAAATTAACAGTTTAACTTCATTCTTCACCGTAACTAACATATGTGTAGAGCATTCTTAGCAAAAACCTTTTAATTCACAAGACAATAAAATAAATTAAATCAAACTTATTTTTAACTACTTAGAAGCATTATTCAAAAATTATCTTTATCTAATTCAATTAGTGCAGCTATATTGTTACTATTGATCAAAATTAATAACTTTCTTTTATTGCAAATATCTCCATTCCATAGTTTGCGTAGTTACTGTGGTTTTGCTTATGATTTTAATTTTGAGCCATTCTCGGACAATTGTCAAGTCATTGTCTTTCTTTTGTCACTTTTTCAGGTGTTTTAGGGTGATTTCCTTTTCGTCACCTTTTGGCTTGATAGTGGTTGCATCAAGACTGGTTCCTCTCGTTCTTCGAGTCTTTTACAGTACCGGCATTGGCGTTCTAAACAGGGTCACCTAGAGAGAATGTCTGCGTTACTATGAAAACGGCCTCTTCGATGCTCTGCTTCCTGGTTATTGCTAGAAAGTCAGCTAGAGGTGGGTGACCGGCTTCTCCGGGAAGCATATATACTGTAATTATTTTTGGTCAGACTTCGTGACGGACTTCGGGAGATTAATCTAGGTGACTTTCTGGCATCATTCTCCGATTCTCGATGTATGGAATGAGCCTTGTTTCTACAGGTTCTTTGAAGGTGTCCGATTCTTCCGCAATTGAAGCATCTTCTGCTTTCATTTTGACTGTTTTGTTGCATATTTTGTACAATGTTTAAAATTTGTGAGAGAGTAGGTTGGGGAATATTATTAAATCTCTTCACTTTCCTGGAATTGAATTCCTCTTACCTTTTGCGAGAAGATCTAGATATGAGTTTTGCTGCTTCATATTTCTGTGCTGCAATCAGTTTCTGCTTCAGCGTCTTATGGTGCTAAGCCGAAGAGTTTGTTGCATTTGAATGCCTGTATGCCGATTTGTTCTTGGAAATCTTTGGGCACCTTTGGATAGGCCAAATAAATCAATCTTTCTTAGCCTCGAATTCATGTAGACTCTCATTATGTTTTTGACTACGAACCTTTAACTGGCTGTGGAATACCCGTTTCAAATGTTGCTGTTTATACCTCGTCTCTAAGGCTTGAACGAGAATGAATAACTGGGTCCTGCTTGGGGAAGTAACTGCAGACGGTTGCTGCCTGTCCTCAAAGCGACACTATCAATGAAGAGTCTTTTTCGGCCCAGCCATTGGCTCTAGTTACAGTTTTAAATTGAAGACGATACGTTTCCCATGTTGTCTGACCGTCAAATGTGGGTGGCTTAATGGCCAGTTTTGTGAAACAGGGTTTTGAATATGGCTTGGTTCGGTTATATATAAGGACGAGGTAGTATTTTCAGCTTCACTGTTGCTAACCGAAGCTAGGCTACTAATTCTTATTTATAACTCAACTAGTTCAGTTTTAATTTGCTTTTCCAACTCTATTCTAGCCGTTTCTTTTGTTTTAAATTAGTTTTTGAATTCTCTTGTTATGCTAAGCTGGCATTCCTCTTGCTTAAGGGTGTCTTGAATTTGAAGCTAACCATTTACAGTTTCTACCTCTACTTTTCTACGTCTCTCTTTATTCGCTTTTTTCTCGTCCTTTCTGCGCCTTTCCTTTTCCTCTTCTTCCTCCTTCCTGTACCTTTCTTTTTCCTCCTCTTCTTCCTTACGGCGCCTTTCCGTTTTCTCTTCTTCCTTCCTGCGCCTTGCCCTTTCCTCTATTACTTCCTTCCTGCGCAATCCCCTTTCCGCTTCCTCTTCCTTCCTGCGTCTTTCCTTTTCCTCTTCCATCTTTAAAAACCATGCTGGGGGAACTGAAGTATCCATACCTGTTTCGTAATACCAAGATAAAATAAAATGTTTAAAATAAACAGAAGGCATAGATCGAGAGCCCGTGACAAAAAATTGAAAGAGTTTTATGAATGCTGAAACGTACTAAGATATTTGTTTATAATAAATTGTTCATAAAAATTTTAGTCAGACCTTAATCTAATAGGATTTTTAAAAATAAAGTGTTTTTTCCAGCACTCACTAATAAACGAGTGAAAAGCTCTGCTGAATTTCAGCTCCTAATTTCTATTCGTCTGGTTGTAGGAATTTTTTAAATAATATTACGTCCGCAATATAATAAAAATAAATTTTCGGCAAATGTTGAAATTTCGTGAGATTATTTTGACTGAATGTATAAGTCCAATGACTGCAAATTAAAATGTTCAATTAATCTTATTTCAAGTTTTTCTGATTTTTTCGAGTATAAGGTACTATGTTTCTCTTAATAAAATTTCAAAAAAATAGTCAGACCGCACAATATTAAGACCGGTCGCGTCAGCAGTACTACTAACATGCCGAAATATTGAGGCAGTGCATAATTATCAGGCGTTTTATAAAAAACTTTATTTATATAAAAGCAAAATTTTATTTATATTAAAAAAAAAAACAAAAATTTTCTAATAGTGTCGTTAAATCATTATTCTGGAGCATAGTCGCCATCAACTTCAATAACTGATTCCCATTTGCTTGGAAGACGTTCGATTCCACGAGCAAAAAAGTCACGGTTCTTGGAGGCAATCCATGCTTTGACATCGGCCACCAAGTTAACCAAATCTTTGAAAACTTTCTGTACCAGCCAATTTTTCAGCGATTAATTGACATGGTAGTACGTTGGCGCTTCTGTGGGAGAATATGGTGGATGCGGAAGCAGTTCCCAACCCTTATTGGCGATGCTTTCGACAACACGGCGCTCAACATGTGGACGCGCATTGTCGTGAAGGAAGACGATATGGTTTTTTTGCGCGGTCTTTTCGTCTCGATTGCAGCGTGAAGGCGGTCAAGTTACGCCATATAGACATCACTGTTGACGTTGAATTACCGCTTGCCGTTTTTGTCTGGAATCCGCCATTTGTGACGCTCATCGTCGTTATTCCACCAATAATAAGTCCTATTTGAAATGATTTCCCAATGAATAATTCCGCTTCTATCCCACCAAAGACACCACATTGACTTTTACAGTGTACGTTTTTCGGTACTCGTTTTGGTGCAACACCTGACGAAACGCAAACCTTCTTTCTTTTGACATTTTTAAAGAGAAGCCATGACTCATCTCCAGTGACAAGATTCTTCAAAAACGGAGCTTGTTCGTTACGTTGTAGCAAATCAGTAAAAATTCGGAGACGTTTGGCTTTATTGTTTCCGGACAGTTCGTGAGGGACCCAACCAGCCACTTTCCATACCTTTTCCAGCTTCTTCAGGCGACGAACGATGGTTGAGTGGTCCAGATTGAAGTCTTCTGCCAGCATTCGAGTTGTTAAACTTTCTTTCCTTTCTACAGCTTATAAAAATGCCTGGTTATCGAAATCTGATGGTCCACCTCTTCCTGGCTTATATTCCAAGCTAGTGTCGCCAGATTTGAAACGGGCAAACCATTCTCTGCATACATTTTCACTTATTGTTCCTTCACCAAAAAGTTCGTTGAAATCACGAAATGACTGCGCTGCTTTCCATCCTTTTTCGAAGTGGTAAAGCGTAATATGACGAATATGAGTATAATTATCGACACGCATTTTTATAACCCGCGAAATTAAATATTATTTTGACAAAGCAAAAGTAAACAATACAGCAATTGTTTCTGAAAAAACGGCCACCTACAAAAACGCCTGATAATTATGCACCAGCCCAATAATTAGGTCATTATAAATAGTTTACCAAAACTGAAACATATTATGACATTTATTTATAATATATTGTTCATCAAAATGCCAGCTAAACCACAATGTAATAGGACTTCACCAGTCAGCAGTCACGAAAAGCCGGAAAACCGAGAGCACGCGAATGACAACATTCTTATTATAAAATACGGACCGGCAAAAATAACTAAAAACTTTTTTAGTAATATTTTTAAAAGCATTGACATGATTATTGAATTTTTATCGATTTTTAATTCAAAATTGCTTGAAGTACATACATCTGTTTGATTCTTATTCATAAGATAAAGTCTAAATTGTCGTACAATAAAATCCAGCTCTGACAAACGGCCTCGAACCAAACTTACAAATAAACCAATATGAGAATAAAGTGTGAATATTTTTTTTGCAAAATATAACCGGTAGATGTAACGTTGTAAAATGTTTTGAAACA